TAATACTGATGAGTGCATCAATATTTTCACATTCCAAAAAGGCAGTATAGTATCTATATAGTAACAGACATTAGAAGAATTAAATCAGTATGTGATAGATGCTATTTTCTTCAACTTGCTTCAAGAAGGCATCACATGTAGAGGAACTGACTGAGTGGTCATGTTAAAAAGTCACTGAAGCCCCTCACGGTGGTGCACACCTGTAATCCCAAAGGCTCAGGAGACTGCCAGGGAGGAAGATCACAAGTTAAAGGGCCCCAGCAATTTAGGCCCTAAGCTAATTAGGGAGAACCTGTCTCAAAATAAAAAATTTAAAAATTGCCTGGGGATGTGGCTCAGTGGTTAAGCACAGCTGCATTCAATCCCTGGTACCAAACAAACAAAACAATACAAAAGTCACTTAAATTCTATAAATTCAAGTTCTTCTATGTACAACAGGATTTATGCCTACCTTACAAGATTACTGTACAAATGAAACAGAATTGGGTATGTGAAAGAATCTTACTCAGTGCCTGTCACATAGTGGACGCTCCATTATGTTCCCTCTTTCTGTTGCTTCCTTCTTTTCTTTTCCTAAAATTAAGCAGCTCAGGGAACTGTAATGATAATGACTTACTCAAACAGAAATATAGACCCAATGAAATCAGGATACAGGAGTCATATTGATTTACTGCCTTTCCTCCAACCAGTAACGATAATGGAATATGACACATCTATCTGTAAAGAGACTTTCAGTTTTACAAAGGACTTGGACATTTCCTCCTCTGGTCCTCGAAATACCTCTATGTTGTGTGAGTTTGGACATTTATTTGACAGACAAGAAATGGAAGCTCAGGAAGTTTGTGTCTTGCCCCCAATAAGCTACAAGAACCAGAAGTGGAATTTTAAAGTTTCTGACCCAAGTGTCCACCAACCTTGGCAGTTTCTTTTTTTGCTTTTCAAATATCTCTCCAGGGCCAAACCGTGAGCATCTAGGGAAGGATATCAAGAAGCACCTGTTTATTTTAGAAGGTTACCTGTGGGTACCAAGCCCAGGGGKTGCCTTTCATGAGATGTTACATGATGATGCTCTCATCCCCCTGCTCCAGAGCTGGACAGTGCCTGTAGTACTATCACATCAGTAATTGACGTGACACCATCTCCACTGTCTGCACTTTTAATGATTTGGCTACTTTTTTTGTAATGATATCCAGGAAGCCCAACATATATCAAGGAAGCTCTTTAAAAGGCCATGGGAGAGATTACTTGAATACAGCTTGTTTGTCTTTCCATTAATGGAACCCATAGAGCTAGAAAAAAAAGATTCTGAGATAAGAGGGGGTTTACTTGGGATCCTGTAAAAGCACACTCACCAACCTGTTTCTTTGCCTCACAGAGAGGAAGGCCTTGAAAGAATTATGTAGCTTCCAGTAACCCTGTGCTAGTAAGCACGCAGAGCTGGCAGATTGCTATCATTTTTGCTGTCAATAAAAGTTGCTCCCAGGGCTTGGGTTTTTGTTGTTGTTGTTTTGCTGTTGTTGTTTATTTTGTTTTTATTTTTTATGTTCCACTGCTCTTTGCAGGAAACAGACTTTTAAATACAGTCCAGGTGGTGATGGATGCTCATAATATTTATATGTCTTTCCCCAAGACAGGGCAATCATGCATTATGCATGGCAGTCAGTGGTCATTTTTAATATTTAAATGACTTCTCAGTTGAAGATAAAATTTATAAAGTCAGTGAAATTCCAGCAAAAAGGCTGGAAAGTTACTTCTACTTTCAAATGCTGGAAAATAAATGAACCACCCAGGCCAGACTTAAGCATTAAAACATTTAAGATTCCTTCTAATGCTGGAGTCCTACAGAAGGATCTCCCCAGTYCCCCACACAGCCTTCTCTCTCTCTTTCTTTCATATCCACCACTTTGACATTAATAGATCATGAAGTTAATTTTCAAGGGTAATATTTAATTTTGTTTAAAAAAAAAGCTAAAATGTACCCTTAGGACCCAGCATGTTGACTAAGCAATTAAATAATGATGGGAAAAATAGTGGCAATCCTAAGTGGAGGAAAATAATGATAACTACCAGGATAATCATCACCTTGAAACATCCTCAGACACTTTGCAGAGATGATCTAATTATTCCCCTGCACCTCCCTCACAGGAAAGGTGTTATTATTTCCATCTTGAAAACAAATATAATATCTACTCTCGATTTCTAAGTGTCATTTCTTCTGAAAAGCTTGTTTATTCTCTTGTTCATCTTCAAAATATAAGACTTAGTCACCTAAAATTAAGTAATTTTGCAGAGTCAGAGGCAGAATAGCATGTTTCTATGAATGTTGGATAACAATTCAATATTTTCCAAGCACTTTAATCATTTGCCCTAGAAATTATAAAATGGCCACAAATAGAAAAATTTAAAAAGATTGGATACAAAGTAAATATAACTAGAAATTCTAGTGATCTTTCTGAATCCCCCAGCATAATACATGTGTTCCCTTTTAGAATGGATGGTGGGGGAAGGAGAAGAGGTAGAGAAAGGAGAGGCAGCCCTGATGCTGTGTTTTACTTAGAGCCAAAGTGTAGGATAAAAGGGAGTGGGAAGGAAAGAGAAAGGAAAAAAAAACATTAAAAAGAAGAAATGTATAAAGACACAGGAAAAGATTGAAAGACTGGGTAATAGGAACACTAATTGTTTTACTTTTCGTTTTTTTAATTGATGTATCATAATGGTACATGTCTAGGGTGTAAGTGTGATGGTATGATATATACATACTACATTTAAATGCCATAATATAAGAGGCTCCCGAAGGCCTGCTGCATTGGTTTGCCAGGGCTGCCATAGGCTAGGCGGTGTAAACAGCAGGAATTTGTTTTCTCAGAGTTCAGGAGGCTGGAAGTCCAAGATCAAGGTGTCAGCAGGCTGGGTTCCTCCAGACACCACTTCTTTGTGGCTTGCAAATTCTATATTTTGCTGCATCGTCACATGGTCTTTCCTCTGTGCACACACATCCTGGTGCATCTGTGTGTTTCAGTTTCCTCATTTTATTAGGGACACCAATCAGAATGGATTAGGGCCCACCTGGAGGGCCTCTTTGTAACTTAATTACCTCTTTAAAGGCCCTGTTTTTTAAATAAGGCCATATTCTAAGCATTGGGGTGGACATTGGTGTCAACATATGAATTTGGGGGAGACAATGCAGCCCATATCAGGTGTGTTTATTAAGAAGCACCTTGTGCTTTTAGGCAAGCTTCTTAGAAATGTGTAATAACCATAGAGCCTGAGCCCTTGGAGAAGGAGGACATTGGTGCTTTTTACACCCCCATACATATCAGTCAGCAAAGTTCACTCAAGTTCTGTACCTAATCAGATCCCAAAGGCTGTCCTGCTCATCTGCTGGAGGAGACAGATCCCCAAGTTTTACATAATAGRTCAGACCACATGCTCCTGGAAGAGCAGGCCATTGCTACTTCTCTCTTCCTGTAAGGTGACAAGTGACAGACCCAGACTTTTCTCTTTTCATGTTTTGTGAGAAGCACTCTTTACTTGAAGCTTCCTTGTTTTCAGAGGGTTTACCCACTCGTGATTTGCACCAGATGGCCTCACCATGGGGTGTCTCACGAAGTGCACATTTGCTCCATGCTGGCAATCTCTGGTCATATAGACAACTGGAAAGTTGACAGCCCCACCTACTGCCAGCTGCTTAGTTGGGGGAAGTAAAAAAGTAGATCCCTCGTGATAAAATTGGAGCAGGTGAACAAAGTCTTCAAGAAGTTGTTTTCAAAATGGCCACAAAATATGTGAGTCTATRTATCTCCTACCACTTCCAGAAAAGTTGAAATTCAATATCCTAATTATAAATTACATGAATGGGGATTATTTTCACATTATCAAAGAAATCTCCATTTGAAAATATTATTATTAATTTTCTATTTTCTTGTGTGTGTATATGTTGGAATTATATACTGACATAAAATTGGTAGAAATTCATGAATGCATTCTTTCATTTAAGAGGCATTTAGCTACCTGAGGGAGATGGTACCAAACACTAGAAGCAYAAAGATAAATGAAGAGTTCACAGTCAACTGGAGAAGAGGGGAAAGTAAATGGGTACAATTTAGAGAAAACAGCAGTTGTCAAACTGCAGAACATATCAGAATCATGTGGAGTGCTTATTCAAGGCCAGGTTTCTTATTACACACTCCCCCAAGTTTCTGATTCAGTGGGGCTGAGGACTGTCATTTCTAATAAGCACCCAAGGGCTTCTGATGCAGCTAGCTTAGGGAGCACATTTTGAGAATCACTGACCAAGAGTCCAAAGTGTTGGGAGCTATGGACACTCTGAGAAAGTGTGTCCAGCCCTGGTTAGGGTGGGGGAGATCTGAGAGAGCATCATGGAAATGAATATTAAGGAACAAGGGGGAAGGAGAAGGAAGGAGGGACTGAACACATTTAGTTCTAAAGGGTGAAAGAGGGAGAAAGTGCATACGGTTTGAAAACAATGCAAATAATTCCATTTATTCATGATAAAGATTGATTTTGAGGTAGTCATAGGAAATGAAGCTGGAGTGATACACAAGGGCCACCGTTGTGGGTTGAGGCCTTGTATGAATATTATCCTGATGGTAATTATATAATCATTGATTTGGAGTAGGAGAAAAGACCCTAGTAGACTCTGACCACAATAACTGTCTTCAGAAGAGGCAACTCTGGGGGAAGAAATTCTTTTTTATTTCTCTGACATGAYAAACCCCACAGGAAGTGATATGAGTGTGGAAAGCGTATACTAATTGCACATAAGCAGACCCAGATGGGGGTAAGTTTTTGCCATTGACCAACCAGCACAATAAGGAGGCATTTGAGTGCCATGATAATTAATGGTTCATCGTCCCTTAGAAAACCCTAAGCCTCACCCAACTCTGATGGTCAGTTATCTCTTGGAGGGGAGGGATGACAGGTTAGGAAGAAGGAAGACCTGGGTCGTAATAAAATGTGCTTCATTCCTTTCTCTCCAGGGGAAGATGATGACGACGATGAATGTGGGGAGGAGAAGCTGCCCTCCTGTTTTGATTACGTGATGCACTTTCTGACTGTGTTYTGGAAGGTCCTGTTTGCCTTCGTCCCTCCTACGGAATACTGGAATGGCTGGGCATGCTTCATTGTCTCCATTCTCATGATTGGCCTACTGACAGCTTTCATTGGAGATCTGGCTTCCCACTTTGGTTGCACCATTGGCCTGAAAGATTCCGTGACTGCCGTCGTGTTTGTTGCACTTGGAACTTCAGTGCCAGGTACAGAATGCCTTCTATCTAATTCCCCCCAAAGCGGAAGCTCATTTGCCTTCTTGATCCCTTTTTTCCTACCATTTCAAGGACTGTGATAATGAATCAGGCCTGTGAAGGATGAGAGACCAGAGATAAATAAGTCTGTTGCCAAATAATGTGCTGTCAAATAATGGCCCTTCTCAAGGTTATAAAGCTGGTCAGTGTCATTGTGCTGACAGGCATGCATTCCCAAAGGGCCTCCACGGCCTGCATAGGGAGAGCCCATCAGTTTGATGGATAGATGTTCAGATCAGCTTCCCTTTAGAGTGAATGCTTTCAAAAGCACAAAACAAAATACCAAATCATCTTCAAGAACAAAATATCTGTCTTTTATATTGAAAAAGGTTTGGATTATTTCCATGAAACTGTAGGTTTAGGTAACTAAGATACTTAATAGATACTTGATAAACTATTCTTTTGATCTAAGTATTAGTGAGAGTAAATAGGAAATAGACATTGATCAGGATAGAGAGAAGTATTTTTKACAAAAGTGAGCAGACCAAGTGCACATTTTGAAGACAGCCTTCATGCATCCCTTATAAATTGAATTTCTCTTCCAAGCTGCAACTATAGCTCATTAYGTTGACTCAGAATTCTGAGTAAAGCATCATCATACCAAATATTAATAGCACTATTTTTTAAAATTTTGATGAGCCTCAGAATTACCTGGGAACTTGTTGAAAAATGCATAAGTTGGAGACCCATAATTGATGGTTTAGGGGTAAATAATGGAAGGTTTAGGGGTAAAGTCCAGAAATGTGTATTTTAAACTCACCAATGACTCTGTGGTATATCACAGCTTATTGTAATTGAAATTCTAGGCCTGTTCCCTAGCATTAGTTGCATCTTGACAGACATAGAGACTTAACTCTGAGCATATAAGGCACACATTCTCTGCCCAGTAGCACACCAAGGGCACAATTAGAGTAGACTTGGAAAAAGACAGGACAGGAAGAAAATCTAGCTCAGCTAATGAAGCCAATCACTCTATTTTCCACAAATATCACAGTCTTGATCAAGTTGCTATGATTGCTAGTAGTTAGTCATAGTTGGCAATCTTGGTTTGGGGGTTTAGAACGAAAACAAGTACAATTTATGTCATGTACAGTCAGGTATCGTGGTATACATGCTCCATCGTTGACCCAAATGTTATTTTATGGTGTATGACTGTATTTCATTGGAATTCACCAGTTGCAGTTCTCCGTGGATATTTATCATCTCAGTTACTATGGAAAAGTGACTTAACTTCTCCGAGCTTCAGTTTCTGCATTTGTAAAATAGGGACAACCATACTTACCATTCAGAATTGTGGTAAGATTGGAGAAAATATTAGGATATAAATTTTCCATCTAGTCAAGCATCAATAGAATTCTCATAAATAATTCAATATAATTGTGGCTCTTAAGATCGTTGTTTATGTTGAATAATTTAAGATGATCTGACCAGTATAAATCCATAGTTACCTTGAATAACTCTGAGTAACCATGGAAGTCTTCAGACTTAACACTGGTCAGACACGATATATGGTAGTATTTTCCAACAGCCTGACCACTTAGGGGGTCCTGATTAAAAGGACCCACATAGTTTTGGTGTCCAGCCCAATTAATGGATGAGGCAAAGGATGTAGAAAGAATTCTCACTCTTCCTTTAGTGAGCAGGGTTACTCAACCTTCCAGACAACTCGTTTTTGTTGTTGTTGTTGTTGTTGTTTTTTGGTACCAGGGATTTAACTTAGGGGCACTCAAACACTGAGCCACATCCCAGCCCTATTGTGTATTTTATTTAGAGACAGGGTCTCACTGAGTTGCTTAGCACCTACCTCACTTTTTCTGAGGCTGGCTTTGAACTCTCCATCCTCCCACCTCAGCCACTGCACCCAACTCCTAGACAACTCTTGATCCTTGCAGGAGGGCAGACTTTTTCAATCTCATTTATGCTCAAACAGTTGTGCATCTGATGTGTACTTTGAATATTTCTCCAAAACTTACCATAAGTTAACCAAGCAGGAGGAAATCTTAAAATATTAACAATCTTATATTGTTATATTTAGAGAATATATTCAACTAAAGAAGCTAAACATCACGGTTGCCATTGCTTCTGGGGTTAGTATAAGGAAATATGTTTGGGAGTCTACTTTTCCTAGGACTTAAGTCACTGCATCAAATGGTGCCCAAGGTAGCACACACTGATGGCCTGGGTTTATAATGCTGGAGGAGTATATGTGGAAATTGGGATAACAAAGACAGAATTAGGTCTCTTGTGACAATTGTCCAAAATCAGTCTTTTTTTTTTTTTCTGAAAAGGCAGCAGCAGTTCATTCTACCAAATGCATTTCTTTTAAAAAGGATAAAAATGCTTTTCCTACATCAAATCTTTGTTCCTAATGTGTCTTGTAATTCACCAATTCCTCATATCCAACACCTCAAAACTGATTCCTTTTTCTATATGCCAATTTTCCAAAAAGTCTCCAGAAAAATATGGCAGCTGCATGTAAAATTCACATTTTTGCTGTAACATGAAATGTGAGATTAGAGCAGAGCTTAATGTGTAGAGGAGTCAGTCACCTGTTCTGCCACTRAAAGCCAATGCAGAACCCAGGTAGAGACATCAGAAGGGAAGAAACTCTATTTGGGGAGAATACCACAGAATCATTAGTTGTTGAAATGACTTCTCTACACTGCCATAAATGTTTCCCATTGGGACATAGATTTCTTTGCTCTGTTATGGGGATAACTTCTATAATTTGCTACAGTATTAACTATGCGGCATGCTCCCTAAGCAATATATTCATGGATAATCTCAGATAATCAAATCTATATAAATAGTCATTTTCTCCCCGCAAAAGCTATGCAAATTAAAGAAGATGCTAAATGAACATAATATTTCTGACTTTATTCTTCAACCCTGCTGATTCAGAGTCATGTTTATTATGTCTCCTGACTCCTAAAAATTAAAATAAAATAAAATGATAATGATGTTTCTAGATCACAAAAGTCCAGGTAGAAAAATTTAAAAAAAATAAAACTAATTCTCTCCACTTACATTCTTCCATTAATCAACATTGCTCTAGATGCCCAGTTTTCTTTTTTTCTAGGATGGTATCTTGGCACTTTTCCCAAAGTAGAAAGGCTTCTGCTTTGTGTCTATTGAACTGCTGTTCCTCTGGAGGTGAGAATCTTGAATTCTTAGATATGGTGGTCAGATGGGCATTGAAAACTTTACCATGCCAGTCCTCCCTCCGCAGGGCAGCATTAACTATCCTTATCTTGTTAAAAATATATTTTACCATGTTGTTCAAAGGAAAAAGCTTGTGGCTTTTCAGGTGARAGAGCTTTAGCTTGTGGCTTCTCAGGTGAGAGAGCTTTAGCCTGTGGCTTTTCAGGTGAAAGAGCTTCTGCCTCATATCGCCTGGGAGCCAATGCTCATTAAAATTTACTGGCAAGGGGGTCTCACAAAGGTCCTCACTCATCCTAACCCTTAGTATGTCTACAAAGCTCAAAGACCTGCACCTGTCAGTAGAGGAAGGCTCTCCTTTTTCTGAATCACAGTTCTGCAGGCCTCCTGTCTGGAGGAGGAGACTTCTGGAACACACTCTCCACCTTGAACTGTTAAAGTGAGCCAGAGCCTGGTCTCTAGGCCTCTTTTCTTCTTCATCCATGCTAGCTACCTGGACATGGTCTTCATAATTTAAATGCCATCCATATGGGCATTAATGATTGCTAAATACTATCCCCACCCTCCACTTTTCCCTGAGCTAGATTTATATGTCAACTTCTTTCAATGTATCCATGCTGAAAGTGTAATTTGTAGCTCAGAATCACTACATCAAAAACACAAGTGTTGATTTCTTCTGCTCAACAGCCTTATCCTTCAACCAAATCTGTTCTTTCCAGATCTTGCCTTCCTCAGAAAARCAGTATCACCATCTGCCCAGAAGTCCTTGATTCCTTTTATCATCCTCCCCAGTCAATTCATCTTTAAGTCCTTCAGGCCTTTCCTCTAAAATGTGAGTTGATCAGGCCCCTTAGCGCTCTCTCCACCTCCATCCGGGTCTACACAGCTGTTCTCTCTCACCCAGAGCTCTGCAGGAGCGTCCTTTCTCCCTGCTTCTGCTGGAGGTCATCCTGAGATATTAATCAGATCACAATATTGCTTACAATCTTCCAGTGGCTTCTTGTTTCACTTAGGATGAACCAGAATCAACATTGACCTACAAAGACTGATGTGGTCCCTCCCTGACATTCTCCTCCTTGCCTAGCGTTCTTTGGGTTAACCAGAATTTTTTTTATTTTCCACATATCCACTTCATTCCTTTCAGTGTTGCATGTCCAACTAAAGGGGTCTTTCATTGGCACAAGACTGTATCCCTGTCTTCAGTTGTATCTCATCTTAAATACCTTCCAAGAAGCCTTTCCTAACCTCCCAATGGAAAGCAGCCAACCAGTTCTTCTTATATTTCATCCTATTTTCTATACAGTATTTGTTACTTTATTTTTTTAGTTTATTTTTTCATGCTATTGTCTAGCTCTCTGCACTAAATGGTTAGCTTCATATTATTGCCTTCTCTCCCTCTCTCCCTCATTCTCTCTCTCTCTCTCTCTCTCTCTCTCTCTCTCTCTCTCTCTCTCTATATATATATATATATATACACACATACACACACAAACACACACACACACACACACACATCTTCCTGGTTCCTAGGATGATGTCCACCTAACACATAAAAAAAATGTAACTGTGTGCATGTATAGTGTTTGAGCATGTGTGTGGTATATATAAGAAAATGGACAAATCAGTCATTTACACATTAGTATGAGTTGATTGAATCAGATTACTTTCTTCCTAACACCTTGTATAAGTAGCTAAGAATCAGATATAAATATTGAGGGAGGTAAACAGTGGATATTTGTATAGTGTGTCTTATTCTTGAGGAATAGGACATATCTGAGGGTTATTGCCATAGG